CCCCCGGTTGGGACACCTCCCCAGGTAGCAATGTCTTCCCAGGTTGCTGCAGCGTGCTCGTGTCGGTCGCTTACTCACCCGTCGCTTCTGTGGCACCACCGTCTAGGTCACCCCGCCCTCACCCGTCTCCGTCACATGTCCCAGCACCGTCTTGTCCTAAGAGCGTGGACTACACCAAAATTGTAAAACGGGCGGGAAAGGGGGGGGGGGGGGGCAGGTTACGAGGTGGACGCAATGTACCGCCCACCAGAGTGGGAGGAGAGTGGATGAACCGTCGAGATCGTGATGGTTGATTGACAAGATATTTCTCAGCTGTGTGTTGCGATTAACTTGGCCAGCAACATTCTCGCCAGTTCGGAGCGATTTTGATTGGCTACACAGGAGAATGGCTTCCTGTGCTTGTGCCCAGACTTCACGACGACCAATGTGACTCCTTTTCTACGAAAATATTTTCGCACCCACTTCGCCTTCCAGCTCAAGTTCTGAATCTAATCAGAGCCCTGTAGGAACCCGCTCTCAGACGGAAATATACGCACTATCTGGAAATTCAGACGAGTGCCTACACCAAGTCTGAGAATTCAGACGGATGTATACAACCAAGATGGTCGTTCATATGAAAAATAATGGGTTGTAAAAAAATCGGATAACACGGGAAAAGTGAGTCTGATTCTCAGATGGACATACCGATTTCGTCTGCTAACTGGAACCCTGATTGCAACTACATCTACTCTAGGAATAGCTGAAAAACAACTCTATGGTGCTACTGATGCTCCATTACCTACACTACAACCTACATTAGGAATTAGCCTTATACTAGACCATGCTGTGCCATGCCGCCACCTGCCTACTCGAAGTCCGAACTATCACTTCCAACCTCCTCAATGTCTTCATCACTGTCGGTCTCTAGATTTTGGGCCTCTTGCCCTTGCTTTTCCTCCTCCAGATTGGGCCAGCCCCACCATCCTCTTCAAACACTCTGGCTGCTTCTGCTGCTGCTAGCGCCTCTACCTGCTTGGCTGCTTCTGCTGCTGCCTTTGCAGCCTTCAATGCCGCCGACGTCTTGGGCCACTTCAGCTGCCGCACAGTCTGATCCATGACAACTTCCTTGGCAAGCCGCCACTTCTTCGTTCTACGTCAGCTAGCCACCATACTCCCCCCGTCCATCGGGTAGTCGAGCAGCGACACCGTCATCAAGTGGCCTAGTTTCGCATTACCGAGATTGCCGCGCTGCCAGCTTTTGATGACGTTCTGGCGGCTGAACCCGCGCTCACACTCCACTATGCTGAGCGGCAGCACGGCGCATGCAATCCAGATGAGCACCAAATTGGGGTAGGCGGTCATCCAGTTTTGCTTGGAGAGCACGTTCTTCAGTGTGTGAAACAGAAGCACAGAAGCCTTCGTAAATGATCTCTACAACCCGAAAATGCCCGAGCCACGGCGTCACTAACAACCCCTTGGAACTCACCCGACAGAGTGTCGGGTGCTGACACATCACGCTTGTAGAGGCAGCGCAGAGACTGGAGCCATTCGAGAAACTTCTGCTGGCGCCTCACAGTGGACTTCGAGTGGTTGATGGCGCCGTTGACGACGTCCGTGGCGAGCTGCTGTAGCGACTTCAGATCCCCCTTGATCCCCTGCCCATCCAGCGGCTTTAGGTGTAGAGTGTACGTATGCACAGTCGGCGCCCCGTGTGCAGATGCAGAAAGTCCTCGATCGTGACGTCCTCGCCCCCCGCGTACAGATGCAGAAAGTCGGCGAAGTCACCCTCAGGTGGGGAGTGTGCTGTAGTTGACGTAGCGGGCGCGTAGTGTCACGAAGGTGTTGTCGACCAACCTAAGCACCTGGGTGACGTCAACCTGCCATGCACAGACAAAAAGGGGAGGTGCTTTTGCTCGTTAATCATCACACTCCCCTAAAACCGACGACATGACACCAACTGGCTTGCCTGGCGACGCTGGAACTTGAGGTTGAGAGTGTTGAGCTCCCGCAACACATCCGCCAGAAAGTACAGCAAGAAATGAAACTTCAACAAGATAATTATGTGATACATCTTCCTATCGTACTCGTACAGCAGGAGGATGGCGACGGGGAACACATCAACAAGCCGCTGGATAGCCTCACCGCGACAAAGCCAACGAATCTTGTGGATGCCTTGCATTTCGAGGTTAGATTCAGTGATGACTTATTGCAGCTCCTTGAAGCGGTTGTGGACGACGATGGACCGGCCGAGCACCTCGGCCAGTGACCACACGACCTTGTCGACGATGCCTAAGTCCGGGAAATCATCTGCAGTGTCCTTGGCAGAAAGAGCCTCCCAGCAGATTAACAGAAATACTTTATTAGTCTTGGAATAAACTATTAAAATATGCAATTTATTGGAATGTCGGAATCGCCTATGTGCGATGCAGTGGTAGGAAACCAGGTGAATTCGGATGCGCAGCCTAGCCACGAGGCCTACTTACGCACCCGTCATCACACTGGCTCCATCGGTGCTGATGCCGCAAATCTTGTTGAGGTCGACGCCCTGAGACTCAAAGTGGGTGAGTAGAACGGCTTGCAGAGACACGGCGTCGCACTTCTCGACGGTGAGATGCCCGAAGAACTCTGTCACCACCGTCGTATCATGGAGGAAGGTGAGGTAAGCAATCATATGTTTACCCCGCCGGCGGTCGGTTGACTCGTCGAATTGGATGCCCAGAAATGGTGAAACCCTGATGTGGCTCACTTGCTTGGCGCGCAGGTAAGTGACGATGTTTTCGACCACCTGATGGAAACCGTACCTGCGCATGCATATTAGTACAGGGTCAGTCTTCTGGAAACCACGTTCAAAATCAACAATATTTCGAGTTGGTATTACGTAAAACACTTACTCGCTCTGGTAGGTACCGTTGTCCTTCATGGGCAGGTCTGGTGTTCCCTGCTCTGCCATGAACTGGACAAGTGACACAAACAACACAACGGGGGCGTCAGATTTGTAGAGGAACATCACAATCACCATGAGTCGCTTCAGTCGCTTTGCCTCATCGTCCCTGTTCTTGAAGACGACGATGAACTTGTGCTTCGTGTTCTTGCCGTCCTTCTGCTCCTTCCGCACCATCGCCGCCTCATGCTTCTGGCTATAGTGGTGCTTGCGCATCGTCTGCTTCTGTACGGTGATGCCACCTTCGCCATTGCGCCCATACTGGTAGTTGGGGTCGTTGTTGTACCCCATACAGATGCTACACTTCATGCATGGACGCCCCTTAGAGGTCTCGGAAATCAGCAGCCATGGGAAGTACCGCTGCCACTGCTCCTTAGCTTTCAACTGGAGCTCGGCGACTGTGAGGGGAAAGGGATCATCGTCGTCGTCGAAGTCGGCAGGAGATGCTCTGGGAGAGCGAGATCGCAGCTGGACAGAGGGTGTAGACTGAGCCACCGCTGGTCGGCCAAAAGTAAGCTTGCGCTGTCGATACTCCTTGCCAGGAGCGCGGACTGGTAGGACAGGACCGCGCGTCACGCGTGAAGGGGAGACGGCTCGCACAGTCGAGCAGCCAGGTATTGACGAGGGGTTAGGTGACGTTGGAGCATCACATCTAGAGTTTTCTTTGTCAAAGAAAACCCACGGCTCGTCATGTAACGGTGGGAGAGGCGACAGAGGTGCCTCACCCACGGCTGCAATCGGAGCATCGCTGATGACGGCTCGGTGCGGCGCGCCAGTGAGGAGATCTAGACCACTAACAATCGGAGGGGTTGAGCCAGGGGGCTCCAAGCCTACAAGTGACTGCCTAACTGGGGAGGGGCTCGACGGTGCTCTCTCTGACGCCATCGCTGCCTAGCCACAAAGCTAGAGGGTGTCTAGGCAGGGTGTGAGCCGAGCAAGATTGGAGCCATGATGAGGGGGCTGGAAGAACGAGGTGGAGCAGGACAAGTGGCTACGAGACTTTTCCCTAGGTGCCTTTACCTTCAGGCGCCTCGTTGAGCTGCAGCATGGCGAGCGAGGTTGCTGCATGGTTACAAAACAACTCTACATTGCTGGTTCACGGTGGGTGGCTTTCCTAGCAGCACCACTATGCGTTGGCACATTGCTCCCAGCTTCAAGATGCAAGGAAGCTGGCAGCCGTGCAAATGACGCACTATCGGACGAGTGCTTGGCAGCAACCTGAGTCAGGTTGCTGCCGATTTCATTTCGTGACTATGCGCTGGCTGTCGCGGTGCGCGTGAAGGTAAATGCGACCACGACCACCGACCACGACCAGGATGGCAGAGTATGGGCCAGTGGGCAGGGCAGGCAACCCATTGGCGCAGTGGGATAATGGGCGATTGCTGTCAGACGAAATTGGATGCACTATCTGACATTTTAGACGAAAAAATACACCAAGTCTGAACTTTCAGACGGAATCTTATGACCGAGATGGACAATCAGACGAAATATTTCTCCCCATAAAAAAATCAGATGAAAGCAAAAAAACAGATCTTATTTTCAGACCATTAGACGGATTTCTTCTGATATCTGAGGCCCTGGTAAGGTAGTCAATAAATAAGTGGTTGGGGTTGGGGGGGCCAACATGATAGAGAACGGGAGGGAGGAAAGAGATTCAGGAAGTTGTACGCGGAGGGTAGGCGATTAACATGTGCACGCTTCTAATGATGGGTTGCCTTAATGTTTGCTTCAAATGTGGATATAGAACAGTAATTAATGGTGACAATATAGTACGCGTTTTAGCCATTAAGTTTACAAAGAGCGGGCATTGTTCACGAGTGTAATTAACGAAGTTGACTCACAGGTGTCCAATGTAGGATCTGTGCAGATTACACTTCCTCGGGTCTCGTTTCACTTGTTTCATTCTCCGATTGCAAAGAGTTCCCCAGGGTTTCTGCGCTGGTGTCATAATATTGAGCCATACCTCGCATATTTCACAGTAGTATTGAGAAAGTGTCATTTTCTCTTGAACCCTGTGCTTAGGAATGCGGACACCTGCGCGGTCCTAATTGCTAGTAAGGGCGGGTCCAGATAGTTCAATTAGGAATGCAATTAGGGTCTCTCTAGTGACTCCTCCCCGTTCCATGATTCAATCGCGACGATCTTAGCAAGGAGACTAGTGGCGGCGATTCCACTGTAGCGCGTTCTCGTTGTAAGAGATGGCGGTGCGAGGAGTGTGGCAGCTAAAACGGCTGATCGTCAACCACTGCGACTTCTCCGGCAGTAGCCGCGGCGCGAGGTGCGTCAGTAGTCCAAATTATAGCCGCGGCGCAAGGCCTCTCACTAGACTCACAACGGCGGCGGCGATCTGCTGAAATGACTGAGACGAATGGCGAAATGCTGAGACGAGTGGCGATACGCTGAGCGATATTATTACGAGGGTTACACCGTCGCTCCTGGGGCTGTTGTAGCAGCAGCTGCTGTAGCAGCAGCCGCGACCAACAAGCGGCCGTCGTCCCTCCTGCCGCAGTTCACAGGGCAATCCGCAGATGGTGGTGGGGATCGAATGGCTCCCCATTCAATCTCTTTGCATTCCTCCCTTTGCCTTCTTCCCCCTGCTGCAGGGGCTTCGTGTCGTCCCTCCTGCCGTGATGCGGTTTACAGAAATGTCTTTCAGCCTCCTTGCTGCGGTTCTTTAAGTTTCTCCCCTGCCGTCTTGCCGCCTGCTGCAGGGAGTTTGTGGCGTCCCTCCTGCCGCACTTCACAGAGGGGAACCCCCAGTTGGCGGTGGAGGCTGTTGTGAGGAGGGGCAAGCACCCAAACCTGCACGCAGAATACGGTAGGGGAGAAGGTGGCTTGTGAGACGTCTCAAAAGGCTGTTGTGAGGCGGGGCAAGCACCAAAACCTGCACGCAGAATACGGTAGGGGAGAAGGTGGCTTGTGAGACGTCTCAAAAGGCTGTTGTGAGGCGGGGCAAGCACCAAAACCTGCACGCAGAATACGGTAGGGGAGAAGGTGGCTTGTGAGACGTCTCAAAAGGCTGTTGTGAGGCGGGGCAAGCACCAAAACCTGCACGCAGAATACGGTAGGGGAGAAGGTGGCTTGTGAGACGTCTCAAAAGGCTGTTGTGAGGCGGGGCAAGCACCAAAACCTGCACGCAGAATACGGTAGGGGAGAAGGTGGCTTGTGAGACGTCTCAAAAGGCTGTTGTGAGGCGGGGCAAGCACCAAAACCTGCACGCAGAATACGGTAGGGGAGAAGGTGGCTTGTGAGACGTCTCAAAAGGCTGTTGTGAGGCGGGGCAAGCACCAAAACCTGCACGCAGAATACGGTAGGGGAGAAGGTGGCTTGTGAGACGTCTCAAAAGGCTGTTGTGAGGCGGGGCAAGCACCAAAACCTGCACGCAGAATACGGTAGGGGAGAAGGTGGCTTGTGAGACGTCTCAAAAGGCTGTTGTGAGGCGGGGCAAGCACCAAAACCTGCACGCAGAATACGGTAGGGAAGAATTGCTCAGCGCTCATGTCAGTCCTTTCCTCGTGCATGTGTGATGTGCCCGCTTTTCGTCACATGCGCGCATGTGCGTCTTTGTGTCTGCATATGTCTGTTCGTCGTTATATATGAAGCATATGTAAGTATCACACCTCCGCTTCATCACGCTCCCCACTATGCCATGCCATGCGGCGCAGTGAATGGGAGGGTGTCACGCAGTGAATGGGAGGGTGGCATGCAGTGCATGGGAGGGTGTCACGCAGTGAATGGGAGGGTGTCACGCTGTGAATGGGAGGGTGTCACGCTGTGAATGGGAGGGTGTCACGCAGTGAATGGGAGGGTGTCACGCAGTGAATGGGAGGGTGTCACGCAGTGAATGGGAGGGTGTCACGCAGTGAATGGGAGGGTGTCACGCTGTGAATGGGAGGGTGTCACGCAGTGAATGGGAGGGTGTCACGCAGTGAATGGGAGGGTGTCACGCAGTGAATGGGAGGGTGTCACGCTGTGAATGGGAGGGTGTCATGCAGTGAATGGGAGGGTGTCACGCAGTGAATGGGAAGGTGTCACGCAGTGAATGGGAGGGTGTCACGCAGTGAATGGGAGGGTGTCACGCAGTGAATGGGAGGGTGTCACGCAGTGAATGGGAGGGTGTCACGCAGTGAATGGGGGGGTGTCACGCAGTGAATGGGAGGGTGGCACGCAGTGAATGGGAGGGTGTCACGCAGTGAATGGGGGGGTGTCACGCAGTGAATGGGAGGGTGTCACGCAGTGAATGGGAGGGTGTCACGCAGTGAATGGGAGGGTGGCACGCAGTGAATGGGAGGGTGTCACGCAGTGAATGGGGGGGTGTCACGCAGTGAATGGGAGGGTGTCACGCAGTGAATGGGGGGGTGTCACGCAGTGAATGGGAGGGTGTCACGCAGTGAATGGGAGGGTGTCACGCAGTGAATGGGGGGGTGTCACGCAGTGAATGGGAGGGTGTCACGCAGTGAATGGGAGGGTGTCACGCACTGACCGGGAGGGAGAGGGTGGTTGATGCAAAGAATCTGGACGCGGCGACTAAACTTATGCAAGGGTTAGGTGTTGCTATTTACATTTCACCTCACTCTTTCCCTTCCCCTCCCTCTGACATGCTGCTCAGTGAATGGGAAGGACTGGGGTGTTGTTGTGAAGAATCAGGGAGTGGGGACCCTTCTAATCCGAGCTCTAAGTGTTGCAGATTTTTTTTTTTGCTTTACTGTACTCCTCTGTTTGTCATTCCATGGCATGTAGTGAATGGGAGGGAGAGGGTGGTTGACGTGAAGAATCAGGAAGCGGAGACCATTCTTATCCAGGCTTTAAGGTTGCGGAACTCCACTGGGCGAAAAGTGGTCAAATTGAAGACAAGGCACGAGTCGGCACGGCCTAGCATTCAAGGAATGTGGACACCTGAGTTGCAAGCCCAGCTTAGATCACAAGCAGCGTCTTAGAGTCTAGGAGTGCTTGTATTGGGGGAAATCATACCTAATGGTTTTTCTCTTCCAAGCAGCCTGATGGGGTCTAGGAGTGCTTGTATTGGAGGCCTTATACTGGATAGGATGGCCCTCATCCAACGAGACTCTTCTATTCCAACAGGTTTCTAGCATTGTGTTGTGCTGCAGTGTGTGATCGACCATGTGCGTGCCACTATTGTCCACTACTAAACCGAGTGAACTTTGTTACAAAAATGGTATGTAAATGTGGGGGTACGAAAGAAGCATAGGTTCTCGAAGTTAACGAATGACTAGAATGAGTGATACATGGTGGGTTTTTCTAATGTCTTGTACCCTCAAAGAGCATGCACCTAACTAGATTATAATAACATATACAAATATGTTTGACACACCCCCTAGGCTAGATGAGGGTGTCAAATATATGTATAACCCATATTTGTATAGACTGTATAGGGTCACCTCTTAGAGGGTACAACACTCTTAGGTATATACCCTTGTTCTCTCTCTCTCTCTATTCAACACTTGTTCAGTTTTTCTTCTAACATGGTATCACCCGTAGGTTCGACCCCCCCCCCCACCTACCGCTTCCGCCCGTGCCTCATAGGCCCCGTCGCGCCTCCTAGGCCCTGCCGCGCCACCTAGGCCCCGTCGCACCCCTCCTGGGCCCCCGTCGCTCCTCCTAGGCCCCGTCGCGCCTCCTAAGCCCTGCCGCGCCTCCTAGGCCCCATCGCGCCCCTCCTGGGCCTCAGTCGCGCCTCCTAGGCCCCGTCGCGCCTCCTAGGCCCTGCCGCGCCTCCTAGGCCCTGTCGCGCCCCTCATGGGCCCTCGTCACGCCTCCTAGGCCCCGTCGCGCCTCCTAGGTCCTGCCGCGCCTCGTGGCCCTGTCGCGCCCCTCCTGGGCCCCTTGTGCCTCCTAGCGCCCGCCGCGCCTGCCTGGCCCCACAGCGCTACCTGGCCCCACCGCGCCTGCCTGGCCCCATCGCGCCCGCCTGGCCCCGCCGCGCTTGCCTGGCCCCGTCGCGCTTGCCTGGCCCCACCGCGCCTGCCTGGCCCCGTCGCGCCTGCCTGACCCCGCCGCGCCTGCCTGGCCCTGTCGCGCCTGCCTGACCCTGCCGCGCCTCCTGGCCCCGCCGCGCCTACCTCGCCCTGCCGCGCCTCCTGGCCCCACTGCGCCTGCCTGGCCCCGCCGTGCTGCCTGGCCCCGCCGCGCCTGCCTGGCCCTGCCGCGTCTCCAGGCCCCGCCGCCCCTGCCAGGCCCCGCCGCGCTGCCTGGCCCCGCCGCGCCTGCCTGGCCCTGCCGCGTCTCCAGGCCCCGCCGCCCCTGCCTGGCCCGTCGCGCCTGCCTCGCCCTGCCGCGCCTCCTGGCCCCACCGCGCCTGACTGGCCCCGCCGCGCTGCCTGGCCCCGCCGCACCTGCCTGGCCCTGCCGCGTCTCCAGGCCCCGCCGCCCCTGCCTGGCCCGTCGAGCCTGCCTGGCCCTGCCGCGCCTCCTGGCCCCGCCGCCCCTGCCTGGCCCCGCCGCGCCTGCCTTGCCTCGCCGCGCCTGCCTGGCCCCGCCAGCACCTGCCTGGCCTCCACCGCACCTGTCTGGCCCCTTTGCCCCGGCTCGTCCTGCCGTGCCGCCTCGGGCTCTGTCTCCTCTGCTCGCCCGTGCTGAGGCGCTTCGCGGCCGCCGTGCTGGAGGGGGCTGTCGCTGTGTTCCTATGTCGCTGTGTTTCTGTGGAGCTGTGCCGCTGACCCTGTACGATGGCGGACTTCGTGCTCCGACTGGACGCCGAGGGCCATGCGGTTGACTTCGCCGCCTGGCTCTCCGATCTCCGCCGCCACCTTACAGGTCAGCGCCAGGATGGCCACTCCTTGGTTGTCCATGTCGACGGCTTGCTCCCCCTCCCCCCCGCACCTGCTCCCCTTACTGCTGATTCCTCCTCTGATGACCGTGAGACCTTCTCTACTGCTGCGCTTGCCCGTGCGGTCTGGGACTCTCGTGATGCAGTCGCTCACGTTGCCATTAGCCACGCCCTCCCTGTCTCTGAGCGCTCGCGTTTTGCTACTATTGAGACGGCCAAAGCTTACTTAGACGCTGTTATTGCTCGCTATTCCACACCCGCGTCTACTTCTGCTGGTCGGCTGCTCTTCCCTATGCTTTTCCCAGACCTTGCAGCTTTCAGTACCGTCGTAGACTTTGCCACTCACCTGCGTGCCCTAGAGACCTGCTATCGTACTGCCAGCACTGCTGCCCAGCTCACTGCGCTCCCCCCCCCCCTTCTGCATGACGCTCTACTTTATCGCCATGCGCCTGCCAGACCGCCTCGCTAGTGCTCGCGATCACTTCCTTAGCCTACACCCGGGTGACCTCACCCTCACCGCCTTTGTCGACACCCTCACCGAGATCGAGACTCGCCAGCGCACTATCGCTCAGTCGAGCGGTGCGCCGGCAGTCTCTATCTTTCACGGCTGTGCCCCCTCCCAGTGCACGTTCAGTGACGTTTCGGCTGCGGTCGCCACGGCGACCCCCCTCACTGAGACGGCTGCTGCGGTCCACCCGCAGCAGCGCTCGCGCCGCGGTGGCCGTGGTCGCCAGGGTGGTAGGGGTGGTGGCGCAGGTAGTGGTGGTGGTGGTCGTGAGGGTAGTCCGTCTGGGGGGACTAGCATTGGTGGTCAGGAGCAGCAGCCCCAGCCGCAGCAGGAGCAGCCCGCGCCGCAGCCGCCGTCCAGCAGCAGCCGCAGTACCAGCCGCAGCCCCCGCAGCAGTGGGCTCGCCTTCCGCCTGTTTGGCCCGGCACCTCAGGAGGTGGTGGCAGTAGTGGCGGCCCGCGCAGCTTGGCGTCTCCCACCGGCTCCGGTGCTGTGACCTGTCAGTACCAGCTTCAGACCGGGCCCCTTCGCGGCACTCTGTGCCGCCGCCAGCACCCGACTGCCCGCTGTTTCCGCCGCCTCGACGATCTGTTTCGTTGTCGTTTTGGCCCGGTCCCGGACCTCCCTGACTGGCACAGCTTGCTGCGCCAAGGCGTGCCGATCTTTGAGTTAGACATGGATCAGATAGGTGCTGCGTTGCATGCCTTGTATTCTGACGCTGCTAGTGTTGCTGGATCTTATTACCCTGTGTTCTCTAGTTTAGGTGTTGCACCGTTGTGTAGCCTAGCCTCCCCTGCTGCGTCAGGCGTAGGACTACCTAGTTTGTCTAGCCTTGCCTCTGCACCGGCTCCGTTCCCTGCCCCCGCCACTGCGGCGCTGTCCTTCACTCTCGACTCCGGTGCTTCTGCCTGCATCTTCCGCGACCGTTCCGCGCTCACGCCGCTTGCTACGCCAGCTGTCGTCTCTCTCGCTGACCCCTCGGCGGGTCCTGTCGTCGCTCGCAGTTCTACGTCCCTTCCCTGTCCAGCAGTTCCCTCGGGCTCCCTTACAGGCCTCCACGTTCCCTCATTCTCGAGGAACCTGGTTGGTGTCGGTTGTCTCCAGGACCTCGGCGTCACCACCACGTTCCCCGGGCACGAGTGGTTCGCTGTCTGTTCTGAGGCTGTCTCAGGTTCCCCCCTTGCGACGTTCCCCCGGGATCCGGTGTCCGGTCTGTTTACCCTTGACACCGCTTCCCCTCCGGTTGGTGCGTTCCCCCAGGTTGCTGCAGCTTGCTCGTGTCGTTCCGTCAGTCACCCGTCCCTTCTCTGGCACCACCGCTTAGGTCACCCTGCTCTCCCTCGTCTGCGTCACATGTCTCAGCACGGCCTTGTCTTAGGTCTCCCTGCGTCGCTCCCCTCCCTTCCTCCCTCGACGGCACCACCGTGCACGCCTTGCGTCGAGGGCAGGCTCCGCCGTGCCCCTCACTCCTCCTCGCTGCGCCCGGCCACTGCCCCCCTTCAGACCCTGCACCTTGACGTTTGGGGCCCTGCCCCCGTCCCCGGACCGCGCGGTGAGCGCTACTTCCTTGTGCTCCTCGACGACTACACGCGCTACACCATGGTGTTTCCCCTGGAGCGGAAGGCCGACGTGCCCGACGTTCTTCTCCCGTGGGTTGTGGCTGCGCATCTCCACCACGGTCTCCCCGTGTTGTGTCTCCACTCTGACCGTGGCGACGAGTTCGCCTCCGGTCGGCTTGGCCAGTTCTGTCGTGCGGAGGGCATCACCCAGTCGTACACCTTGCCGGACTCGCCACATCAGAATGAGGTTGCTGAGCGCCGCATCGGCTTGGTCATGGAGGTCGCCCGTAGCTCTATGATCCATGCCGATGCCCCCCATTTTCTGTGGCCGTTCGCTGTTCACTACGCTGCTCACCAGCTTAACTTGTCGCCCCGCTCCCAGCGGCCGCAGGTTTCGCTGACCCTCCTTTGGACCGGGTCCCCCGGTGACGCGTCTGCGTTCCACGTCTGGGGCTGCCTTGCTCACGTTCGTGCCTCTGGCACGGACAAGCTCACTGCCCGCACTGTCCCCTGTGTCTTCCTCGGTTTCCCCCTGGACTCGTCTGACTGGCTTTTCTATCACCCGCCGTCTCACCGCTTCCTCCACTGTCGTGACGTTACCTTTGACGAGTCCGTCTCCTTCTACCGCCGCTTCCCTCACCGAGGTCTCCCAGTTGCCCCCCCCCTGTTCCTTGCTCCCTCTCTCCCGGTAGCCCCTGCCCCTCTCCCACCTCGCCCTGCCCCGTCTGGTGTCTCGCACGCCACTCCCCTCCCGTCGGTTGTCCCCGTTGAGGAGTCTGCTGACTTTGGTGGTACCCCCGGTCTGTCCTTGCCACGTCCCCCTTCCCTGATGCCTCCGCCCCCACTGCCGCAGTCGCCGACCCCGCTGCAGCCGCCGCCGCCGTCGCCGCCGCAGCCGTCGCCGCCACTGCCACCGCCGCTCTTGGCCCCAAGGGGTGCTGGTGTAGAGGAGGGTTTTCGTCCTGCGGCTTCTGGGGGTGCCGCTGGTGTTGGAGGGGGCTCTCGCTCTGGGGGTGTTGGTTCTGGGGGTGCTGCTGTTGAGTGTTCTGCCGACGGTCATTCTGCCTCTGCTGGTCCGAGAGTTCCGGCCCAGCCGTCGTCGCCGCCGCAGCAGCCATCGCCGCCGGTCTCCGCTCTCCGCCTGCTCGGCCTTCCCTCCCCAGACCGCGCGACGGTGTCTCCCCCACCGCCTGCTGACCTTCCTGTCTACGGTCCTATTTTCCCCCAGCCAGACTCGTCTCCGGCCCGTCTTCCTCCTTGTTCCCCTCCTGTGTCTCCTCCGCTGTCCCCTGACCCTACACCTCCGTCTCA